TTGATTTGAAATGACATCCTTTCTTCTTCTATCAACTTTCATTGCTTTACAGCGAAAGGAGATAATTTAATTCCACTTTCACTGAAGGTATTCTGAAATATATATCCAATATATTTCCCCTTTCCCTTCCCTTTTCACTGGTACTGTAGCTATATTTAAATAGTAAAAGAAGTGGCGCATATTATCATCTTGATAGCCCATTAAAATTGTCTAAAGAGGAGAAAGAACGAATATATAGGTAAAGGAAGACTTGGGAAAATATATAGAATATTAACTGAACTAGAAGAGCAGGCAAAAGGTTTAAAATTAATTTGGGAATCAGATTTAGGAGAAATAAATGATACCAATTGGAAAAATATTTGGAATACAAGAGTACATAAAAATATGTCAGTTAGAGTTAAGGAAAATGGATATAAAGTGATATGGAGGTGGTACCTAACACCACATAAATTAAATCAAATAGATGGTAAATATACAAATATTTCTTGGTGCAAGAAAGAGGTTAAACATACAAACATATGTGGTGGGATTGTGATAGTGCACAAAAAATATGGGACATGTTTTTTAGAGAAATTAGAGCACTGTTGAATGTCAATCTGGAGATGTCACCAAGAATTGCATTACTGTTGCTGGTGGAAAAACGGGATATAAATGAAACAAAAAAGGAATTGGTTGTAAATTTGATAATGGCAGCTAGATTAATGAGGGCTAAATATTGGGGATGAAATTGGGCTATTCAAAGAAATGAGTGGTATAATGAAATTTGGAGTATTTGCAACAAATGATAAATTAACAACCGAAATTAAATTTTAAAAAGGGATGATGAAAGCAAACAATTATAATGAAATATGGGGGGATTTTGTAGAATCAGTGTTGGTGGAAGTCAAAGGGAATAAACCTACTCAAGAATATATGTTGTTTTGGAGGGGATAAGGGCACAATTGGAATATATTGTATATTCTTTAGTTTTTATAGAAGAAGGAATATAAGCGGGGGGAAAACAGGGTCTCCGGGGGTGGGAGTGCACTGTAATATTATTTTTTCCTTTTCCTTTTTTTATTTTTTCTTTGTATTTAGATGAATATGTCTATGTTTGTATTATTTGCATTTAAAAAAAATAAAAAAAGGAGAAAGAAAAACACATACAAAATCCCTGTAATATTCAAACCGAAGTGAGGACAGACTGCACAATTACTTTGAGGTTGCAGAATAATAGGTTAGGAGATTTGATCTAGATTGGGATTATGATGTTCAAAGTCAGGACTCTGCATGCCAAAAATTTGTAGAAGTCATAGAAACCAACTCTAAAGAGAACCTGACTGGGGCCATTTTGGAGGCTTCGGGATTGCCACAATGCAAAGAAAGGATAAGGAGGGGGAACATCGTTACATGGGACAGTTTGTAGCCAAAAGATAACAGTTTCCTGTGGGAACCAAGGACATTCCAACAGGTGGCTGGAGAGAGGAGGAGAACAGTAACCAGGCAACCAGTCAGCACCTTGATTGGATCATGTGACTGATTGTTTGGGGAAAGGGGGAACCTTCACTTTTTAATCAGGTGAAAACTGTGGGAATGTTCAGAGTCAGTTTTTACCAGTTTGTGCCAATATGATATCTCCAATAAAACTATCCTTGGGGGAATCTGCCTGTCTCGGAGTTCTGCTTTCCATGGGGCTACTACTTGGGACCTTGACAATAGAATCATTGGGCTGGAAGGGATCTTGAAGGTCTTGTAGTCCAACCCTCTGCTTAAGGCAGTTATCAACGTATGACCCCCAACTGAGCGCAAAATTTCTGTTGTTAAACAACTCACTGCCAGAAGTTCGATTCTGACCAGCTTAAGGTTGATTCATCCTTCTGAGATCAGTAAAATGAAGACTCAGATTGTTGGGGGCAAGAGGCTGACTCTGTAAACCGATTAGAGAGGGCTGTAAAGAAGTAGAAAGCAATAGCAATAGCATTTATATACCACTTGATAGCCCTCTCTAAGCAGTTTACAGAAACAGCCTCTTGCCCCCAACAATCTGAGTCTTCATTTTACTGATCTCAGAAGGATGAATCAACCTTAAGCTGGTCAGAATCGAACTTCTGGCAGTGAGTTGTTTAACAACAGAAATTTTGCGC